GATAGCATCCCAGCCCTTCTCCCTGAGAAGTCCTATGATGAATTTTTACATCTCACAGAAAACAGCTGTTTTCAGAGAGGTGATGAAGGAGATGAGTGAGAAATGGCTGATCCCTACATCGTTCTTCACATGCTTTTTTACTCTTGTTGAGCACGTGCTTAAGCTCAGAGTGCTCATTGTCCCTGGTGCATACCCAAAGCATCTTCCCGCTCCTGAACTGGAGCTCTGAAATGCTATCCATTTTCTTCTTACTGCCCGAAGTGGAAACTGTGAGCTGCACCTTGAAAAAGCTCTTTGAGAAGATATTGTATTATCAGTATAATAGGCTGTTAAAAAATAAAAATACAAAAATAGTGCACATATTTAAATTGGGCTTCTCCTTGTTAGAGTTTCTACACATGGTTTTCAGATAATCTTCAGCAAGTGTATTTGGCATCCTCCTTATTCTGGGTTCATCCATTTTATGTGCTATGTCTATAACCTCAAACACGTTCTTAAAAGAAAAGAGTTACTGCAAGTGACAAGCCTGTGTGTTCTGGGTGAATCTAGTACCCTAGTAAATGTACAATTTACAAATCCTTCTCCATGCATCTCTGAAATCTAAAGAAGCCAGCCATTTGTTCTTTTTTGACTGGTTAGTAAAAGCATCAATTTCAAGTTACGCAAATTCTCTTGAAACAGCCTCCAGCTGTGTCCAGCAGTACTGGGTCCCAGCTACCCAAGTCCCAGCTCCCTTTAGCCCTTGGTCTCCATGCACAAGAACAGCCTTTACTAAAACAGGGCAATAGAACTGAATTCTTTCAGGAGAAAGTGTTCATTCCCAGGAGGGGGAGTTTCTCCAGTTAAAGTAGCAGCAGGAAGGATATCCAGATGATTTTCAGTCCCTTTGGAAGGATACTGCCTTATTTTATTATTGTATTAAAACCAGTGACTGCTCTAGTGCCAAAAGCTGGGTGCCTTAGCCGTACTTACTGGTTGTTTCCCTTCTCTTTCCTCTGAAAGTGTGATAAGATTTATTTTACCTTTTTTTTTCCCCTAGCTTTTGCATTTGAAGTGTGTGATAAGATTTATTTTACCTTTTTTTTCCCCCTAGCTTTTGCATTTGAAGCTTGGAAACCTTTCCAGGAGGTGTGGGGCAGGGTTGGCAGAGCATGCTCTGTTTCTTCAACAGAGCCCTTCTTCCCATTTTTGAGTCTCAGAAAGGATCTAAAGATTAGGATGATACTGATTCGATTAGGATTTTTAAAGGAGACCACAAATTCTATTACCAGCATCATGAATCTTATATTGATAACTGTTCAGTGTACATCCTAATTTTACCAGAAAGCTGGATCATTATCACTGAAGAAGATAAAAGTAATCTATCTGTTCTACTGGGAGTTCACCATACCTTTCAAAAGGAGGAATAACTGGAACTTGCCTGAGGAGAGGTGATCCAGGGCATGGATTCCTACAGCTTATTGTCATTAGTTAGTGAAGCACCTGTCCCATTTGTTCTCAAGTACTGCTGACTATGAAAACTTACCAGGATTTGCTAGAAAGCCTTTTGGATAAAAGTAGGTAAAATTTAGGGAATCTTCTTTTAAGTCAATGAGTACTTTGTACTTTGCTTTATAATTTTTATCACTTTCAGTGAAAGACATCTAAATCATCTTTCAAGATATCATAACAGACATATCTGTCTTAAAGGGGATGGAGCAAGAAAACAACCACATAAATGCCCACTCCACTAAATCCTGGTTTTGAGAGCTGAATGTACCTAGTTCTATCCAGTTTCGGTAGCTGCTGCTAATGATACAATGGAGCAGCAAAAGCAGCTCTCAAAAAAAAACCCCAACAATAACTTGTATGAATATGAAATTTATTAACAATGGGTGTACAATTAAGAATGCTAAAGTATTGTGGTGGTCAATTAAATAAGGGACATTATTGTCTTCTGAGAGAGTGCTTCAGAATAAAACAGGCTACACTTATCCTAGTTTGTGAAGGACAGCTCAGTGGAGGACAGCTCAGTGGATGTAGCAGACCCAGGATCCCACCAAATGTTCATTGTGGGATCCTGATGAAAGAACAACTTTTATCACCAAGATTCTGGTTTTCTTTGCAGAGTCCTGTTGACTCTTCAAGCAGGTCAAATGGTTTAGTAGAAAGATGATTTTTTAATGATTAGAGATGATGGTTGCATTTTTTGAGTTCTTCTTAAACCTCATTCTTCAGAAAGGAAGAAGATAGCATTGCCGTTCTTGAAGAGAGTCCCAAAAGATATTTTTCAGCATATGAACTTAGCATTGTGAATGAGTTTTCTTTTTCTGTCTGACTAGTGTGATAAGTGAATGCTTAGGAGTTGTCTAAGTATAAATAAAGTGCAATAGTGTGTTCAGGACCCATTTTGATGTGCTGTGTCCCTATAAACAATTGCCCAGTATCACTGCACGTAGCCATATGGCTTTAGAAGAGACTGAACATAGTTCAGTCATTTTTCTCAATGCTCAGGATCAGATGTGGAGATGGGTAATATATGAAAAAGCATCTTACTTAAAATTGTCCCAATATGGGAGACTATTTTCCAAGATACAAGAAAAAATGGAACAGATGGTTATTAATAACGGGAGGGTCGGCTCCTGGACAAAATATCTGGTGGTGTTAATTTAGTTAAATTTAGTAATCAAAAAGCAGTTTGATTAAGTAGGATTTCCATTTTCAAAATAAATTGAGAGCGCTAATTAGTGAAATCAACTGGACTGAGCAATTTTAGACTAAAATGCAGTAAAGGTTTGGGATTTATTTTAGACAAAGGTACAAAAGTTAATAAAAAAATGCATTCCAAATTAGATGAGAAAAAACACTCGGAAGGAAAGTTCTATGACAAAGTGGATGATTATTTTTTAAGGAATGTCTGGAGTAAGCAAAGATCATGAAAGAAACAGAAAAACAGCTTGATCTGCAAAGAAGGCTACCTCCTGGATATCAGAAGGTGTGGGGTTATAGTGACAATTAGCAAAAGTTGTGTTGAATTAGATCATAATAAGGGAATTTAAATTAACAAGAAAATATTACTTGACTATGTAAAGAAGCTTTCTGGGGAAGAAAACTAGAACCATTGTGCAGTGCAAACGGACAAATGATACTAAACGTAACCCAGGTATGGTCTCAACCAGAAAAGTTTTAATTTTCACTAAAAAAAATTGCAGGCAAAGGCCTGAAAATAAATAAATAAAATAAAAGGGAGCGTTGGGTAGATATTATAAATTAGCACATCCAATAAAGATTAAAGCATCTGACTTACAGAGTAAATGTCTTTCCAGAATACTGACAAATACTGCTGCATGGAAAAACTTTTTTAGTCTTTTACTTCATGGCTGATAGCATATATTTGAAGGAGGGGAAATGTAGTACCTGTACTTAGATTAAGAGGAAAAATGTGATAGCAAAGCAGCTATATAGGTTGACTATTATCTGTGCAGGGCTTTAGAAAAGTTTTTAAGGAAGAAGTAAGAGAGAAAAGAACAGCGAATGGCATAACTTCTAGTGCACGTTTTTTGTTAAACAGGAGATTGTGCCCAGCTAACCTGCTAGCCTTTCAAAATACACATTAAGGAAATACGTTGTCTGTCTGGACCTCAGTAAACCCCCTGATGTTGTGCTACAGGAGATGTTATGAAATAGAAAGGATGGGGATTAGTGAAGTATAGTAATTATAAGATGACTAGACAAATGTGTATTTTAATGAAAGAATTATTTTTAATGCAGTTTGTGGTGGAACTGATCTTATCCAATATTTTCATTTGTTGTCTTGCCACAGAGTGAGAGACTGCATTGATGGACTTTTATGAAGGAAAAATATTAGAAGGTAGTACCCAGTGCAAGCACAAATAGAGTACTCAGGTGGGACTGATCCTTTCTGAGGAAAAGAGGACTAGAAACAGCATGAAATAGTGTGAAATACAGTATTGTACTAGCAAGAATTTGTACTGTAAACAGCAAACCTATTTTTGTAAATAAAAATGGGAGAGTAAGCATGTAGGAGGTGGTGCAAACTGCAAGGTGGTGTGTCGTGACTATAGACTGTATCGAGCAAGACTTTTTTGATAGAAAAGAAAACCGCTGTCCAAAGAATCAACTGATTAAACTTTTAGTATGCTGTCTACAGCTCCTGTCCCTTCTTTTCCATTTGTAAGAAGGACTGATTTAAAGAAAACAAGGAATACGGAGCCTCATTTAGGAAAGAGACTGAAAGAACTTGATTTCAGTAAGCAGAACAGAGGACACAAAGGTGCGCAATGCTATCTGTAAATGAATTAAGGAGAATACACAGGGACATAGAAGAATTATCAAGCTAAATGACAGGTTGTGTAAGAATAAATAGTATAAAACAGGACATGAATAAATTTGCTTTGAAAAATAGGTGATTCTTTCTGGCTTTTAACAGTCCTTTGATAAAAGTAGATATTATAGAGAAGAAGGTTTTCTTGTAATCCTTGGTTTCTATAAATGTCACTGTTCTATGTATAAACAGCCCACAGGATGTAAAGCAAGATGTTTTGCAGACATGTTACTTAGGTAGTTTCAGAGAAGCTTTGAACTTGTGCTATGACAAAAAATATCTGGTATACAATCAACTCAATTCTTCATAGATGAACTTTTACATTCTTTGACTTAATGTTAGTAAAATCAAACTCATCTATTTATATGGTATACCTCTGTAACCTTATACTAGTAAAATTGTGTTTAATAAGTTGAGAAGGGCCTTAATCAAAACTTTAAGTGAAATTAAAGCTCAGATTTTCAGAACATTTAGACTCCAAATTGAACATGGAGGCTAGTTGTCTCTCTTGCCAGCTGTAAGAATTTGAAGATGTAAGGTTGAGACTTGTCTATGTAAGTTTTGTCCTAAACTAACCATATATGGTAAGATCAATTGCAATTCTCAATCAATATTGTGTTATTTATTATCAGGGTTTGTCTTATAACAAAGGTGTTTTCTTTTATTTTTGTGTTAGGAGGATCAAATGAAAATGGAAGCACACACCACACCTCAGATTCAGATGGAACATTTATTTCTTACAGGTTGGTATTTTTTTATATTTATTTTCTAATTTTAAAAAGTTTGAATATAATAAACAGCATAATCTATTTAAAGCAAAAGAACAGGTCTGTATATTTTAAGAGTATTGTACAATCTGAATTGCAACAGTCAGTAGACTAAAGGACATGAAGGGTTTAATTAAGGAATGATCTGAAAAGTTGTTTTCTGGATTATTATTTTTTTGAGAAAGCTTTTCAAAATGCTTAACTAATGAAAGTACAGGATGTTTGTAAGCCTAAATATTTTTAAGGTTGTTTTGTTGGGTTTTTTTTCTCTCCAAAGTATGCAATAAAGTTGAAATTCTCACCTAAACTCACTGCAGCTAAGCTAAATGTTGTTGAAATATTTAACTCACCGGGGATCACCTTTCTGATCTCCTCCAAAGTAACTGGATCTATGGACCACATGGAACTCTATTTGCTCGTTATTTCAGGTCAAAAACCAAAGCCAGAATTTGTTAAATTTGAGGTTTTCTGGCAGGAAAATAATATTTCGATTCTGTTGGTAGTAAACACCAGTTAAAGAAAAATGGTGCCGAGGAACTTCTTGCAGCACTGTCACTGAGCTTGAGTCTTGCTTGGGTACGTACCAGAGGGTGTCTTGTACTTGAAAGCACAGAAGGGTGATCAGCAGATGCGTAGTTTCATCTTTCAGCCGGCAAAATACTGCCTCTGCTACAAATGCTAAATCTTTGTCCTTGTGACTGGTAAATTAATAGTAAGATTTGTGCTCCCCAGAATGACTGCATCTGATTTTGATGCTTAAGTATGGTAAAACAAAACAAGCTTACCACATGATTGTTTTGGATTCATTTAGTGAACTATGATGGATGGCATCTTTTCATTTTTTATTCGTTGTCCACTGGAGTCTGTACTTCAAAGAGGTGTAGGCAGGCAGGCAGGGGAAACCTGCCTGTTTGCCCTGTCCTGGTTGCAGCCGGCTGGGTGGGGAATATTCCACCGTCTTGCAGGCAGTGAGCTGTGCTGGGCATGAGGAGCCTTCAGGTGCGGGGTGGCAGGGAGGGACACAACGCCTGGAGAACCTGTTGCAGGCTGGAGACTGAGAGATTGCTGAGGAGAGCAGGGAGCAAACAGCCTGGTCCTGAGGATGTTGAAAAGAAAGGCTTTCCATAAGGACCTAGAGGGAACAGCGAAGAGTTTGTTGCGATTAAAACATCCAGAGGAAGCTTCTGGACTGAGAGCAAGGCTGGGAAGAAAAGGTGTGCCTGCAGGGACACAGTGGGACAGGGGAGGTTTGATTTACAAATCCTTCCAATTTTCTGTATTCTAGTAAGTCTGCTCTAATGAAACCTACTTTGTGATGACATAAAACCCTTCGAGGGTAGTTAGCGTGTTCACTTTGAGAAAAATACGTTAGTGGATCCATTTCAGGGTTCTGCCTGACTCGATTTCTTGTCATATTTGTGTTCTTTAATGTATGCAACATACCATCTAAGTTAAAAGAAGGGCTCAAAAATACCACCCAGAATAATCTTCATGTTTTTTAGGTGAGGAGCATATGGAGATACAGAGACCATGAAGCAGTCTCTGAAAAATAGGCAAGATAGAATTTAGCCAGATCAGCAAAACGAAGGAGTTGAGAGCTCGCTCTGCCATTAATTCCAGGACACTTATAGCTGAAAGTCATTAACTCAGGAGCCCCACCTGTTGTATCTGCCAAGGTAAAACTTGAAGAAGAAGCCAGCTTCAGCTAGGCTCTGATTCCACAAGAGTGTAAGCTGGGTCTGACCCTTTCTTCCTACCCCTTCTCCACTCATCCAGTGGCACTCATCTCTCAGTGAGCCAGTCCAGGGTGCTAAACTAGCCCAGCCTAAACTGTAGGGAATCCTCAGCCATCTTTAATGTTCCACAAATAAGAGGAGGTTAAAGCTGGCCTTTGTATCTCCATATTCCTTAGTCCAAAGTGCATATAATAAATACAACGTTGGCTACGACTTCCACTGAATAATAATCGTATCCTGTCAGAGAGGATTACAGCCCAACTTACAAAACTGAAGTTAATTAATATTTTAAAAGCAGTCCCATATACCACTGCCAGAGTATTATTGTTATAATTAGAGGCAAGATGATAAAGCAAGATAGTGCCGTGTATATATGTCTCTGTGTGTATACACATATATATATAAAAGAAACCTCTGTCTTTTAATAGTTGGCAAGCTAGCACTGTTATTAAGTAGTATTACAATGTTTAAGGTGTGAAATGAATATTTTCTGCTCAGTGGCAAGTAAGTTCCATCATATAATGAGACTGACTGTAAATTTGCTAGTTGGGTTGAATATTGTGTTGATAGTTATAGTTCTGTGCTGCATGTTAAATAAAAATGAGCAGCTAATACCTTATGAAAGACGAAAAGTGAATCTTAAACTACCTGAAAGGTAATGATGGTAAATAGTTGTTATTTCTTTAAGGACTCATTAGAGATTTGGACTTATTTTAGGATGCTGTCAATGAATATTGTTTCAGTAAGTTAGTAACTTGATAAAACTGATGATAGTCTTGTTTACCCGATGTGTTTTAGTCTACCATATTTAAAACAGACTGGCTAGTGAATTTTTGCCCTAAAAGAGGCAAATGCATCTTTGGATCATGGTAGATGCCATGCTTGCAGAAGGCTAATGCATGCAAAACTCTACTGGAAATTTTTACTGAAACAAAAGCTGCTTTATGTTTTATCAGTGGCAGTCTCTTTACAATCTATTTAGGAGAAGAGGCAACTCCAAATGTTTAAAAATATTTGAATGTGAATGTGTTTTACTATTGAAGGGGAGGGGGGGGGGGGGGGGGAGGGGTTACTCGATTCCAACACTTTTTATTTTAAAGGACAATTTTACACTATCCAGTACAAGACTCCAAGTATGTGTGTATGTAATAATAAAGGATGTCAGATCATTATCCTTTGATATATTTATAATGCTCCGGAACTATTTGTATGGGTTTATTTTTAATATGATGGTGTCACCTTAGAGTTTGTGGCTCTTGCTTGTGTTGATCACAGCACAGATTTAATGCTGCTTATGTTCACATAGTGAGCATTTCCCTTTAGGTCATAAAGTTTGTAAGTAATGTGAGTGAAAAGCACATGTGACTGGCACATATTTCTAAATATTCTGTGAGCTTGTGAATGCGTCCTGTCAGGTCACAGAGAATTTTCTAGTTGGTCTTCAGGCTATGATGGAACTATTCTTTGTGTACTTGAGAAGAAGCTTTACTAACAAGAAACTATGAAAATTATTTCCTAGAACTATGTCACCAAAATTTGAAGTTCACTATTAGAAAAATTTGAACAAGGATTTAGACATGTAGTAACTGTCATCTTTAAAACATAAGAAACTTGAGGAAAATATTTGAGCTCTGCTCTACTTTATAATTTTCCTGCTGTGGTTAAAGCCTTTTCTGGATGTGCAAATTGGCCGGACTTCACTAAAAGGAAAAGAAAAGTAGGTGTGGGTCTCTAGCTTCAGTATCTGCAATGCAGTGCCACTGGAAAGTAGAAATACTGTCTTTCTCCTGCCTTCCCAAGGGCAGCTGACCTTCTCCTCGCCAAAGAGGTGAACCCCTTGCCAGCACATATGACTACAGACTATTACATTAATCTGTTTAGCCTCAGTACCAGCTGCTTGCATGTTTTTAATTATCTTATTAGATGGTATAACAGTGACCTATGAAATAAAATGAAGGTGAGTATTTTTTAACTTTATTTTACAGGCTATTTTTCTAAATATACTTTAATGACCTAATTATGACTTTTAGGGAGAGCCATTGATGCAGACATTCAATTTGGCTGATAGAATCTAACATCTCAAGGACACTTATTTTCTTCCAAGGTGGATTCATACATTAATACTGCTTCTAATAAAAATATAGCCTAAAAAAAGCTCACTTTTCATACTTGTGTTGTTAACTTACTTTATGATTCAGAGACCCATGACTACTATGCTGGATTTTCTTAATACATCTCTGCACTTGTATATAAGTTTAATTTCTACCCCATGTATCAAGATAAAGTTCTTTCCTGTGTGGCTTAAACTCCATGACAAGTGATGATTGCTCAAAGTTGTGGGTTATGTAGACAATGTATATTCTTCTTTCTGCTGATATTTCAAATAGGCAGAAAATCTAGTGTAAGAAAGATTTTCTTATTCCATTTTCTTCCCCTGACTTCTTACAGATTCTGCTTACCAGATGTTTTCTTTCTTACTGCAAAAAGGCAATGTGCTCCTGCTGGCTGAGGCATGTTTCTTGTGTGCCAGCCAACAACCGCAGGACTGATACTGCGCATACAGAAGAAAGACGGCAAGGGGTGCAAGCTGTTCCTCCCTTTTTCTACCCCCTCCCAAAAGTGGATAGTGAAACTAGTTTAATTCCTGTTTGACCTATGGCTTTTCTTGGCAGCTGAGCCAGAAATGGCTACATAGCCTCTGTCCTTATATGTTAAATGTAGTGCGAAAATGTAGGCAACTTGTATACCTCCACCTTGTGGAAAACTCTTGTTTTAATCCATTAGGAAACAGCCCATTCCCATCTACACAAGTCTATTTGGTCTTGTTCATACACAGGTGGTGTTTCTTTATTGTTTTACTTTTAAGCCACCCCTGTGCAATTATAACCTATTTTTCCTAACTTTGTCCACTATGTGTCCACACATAATCAAGAGCTGTAAAGAACAAGCTTGTTTCTATTGGGGTTTTCAAATATTTAGAGATACAAAAATTTGGGAATAGAAGATGAAGCAGTGAAGTGGCACTGCACCTCTGCTCTGTAAGGAGAATTCTCAGTGCTGGCATCCCTCCTCTTTTTCCACAAGGAAGCGGTAAAGCTGGCATCCATGTTTGTCTTACCTAGAACCATTTGCTAGATGCCATCTTGGTTGATGCCATTTATGTGCAGAGAGGCCTTTTCACTACAAGTTAATTTTGTCTGAGAGCCTGTAAACTCTCTCCTTGAATTTTGTTATTCTTCT